GAAGACAGGCTTACGGCAACAATCTCGGTGCATCTGCAACCATCTTCGGCGGTTCGTTGTGTAGGCTCTCCCTCTGTGACCGGTATTCCCACCCAGCTCGGTGATGCAAATAGCAGTAAGAAAAGCAAGAAAGAACAAACCATACGTACAGCTCAAGTCACAGGGACAGCCGGCATCAAAGAGAAGACAAAGGCAAAGCAGTGTTTCTTTATTTAATGTTCAATAAAGAGACGACAGCTTAATACAGTGTGCATTGACAACCACCTAATAAGTACATGAACTTCTCAGTAGCCTTGAACCCTCTGTCAAAGAAAACAAACAGGACTGTCGACATGTGCAAGGAGCTTCCCAAAGGAGCTGAGGAGACATGAAAGAACCTCGAGGGAAAGGCTGGAGGATGCAAAACAGAGACAACAGCGGGACCCCAAACCAAAGAGAAAGGCAACACGAACGGGTTAACCCCCTGCAATATATCATATAGGAGGGACACAGTACGAGGACCGCACTTTTCGAGAACTGCATTCACTGCACACTCACAAGCTTGAGGCTACCAATGAAACTGGGGAACTAAAAACAAGACAGCACTTTACTTCCGCAGCAAACCTGTAAGTGCCATCAGTGCCAAAATCATTGATAGTTCAGGGCAAAGATCTCCTTCTAAAAGACAATACACAAATGCACCAGAAGGGAGTTTGAACATCTCCTTTGCCATTGCAACAAATGTTCAGGGCTACTTGCGGGCTGCACTGCTGGCAGGAGCGGGCAGGGACCACCCCCAGCAGCACAGGAGGTGCCGAGGGGAAGGCCGGGAGCTCTCTTGGGCCACAGGAGAGAGGAGCTGCAGCGGCTCTGCCTGCAGAGCTGCCTCCCTCCATGGATCTCCCCTGCAGGCTCTCGGGGAACCACACATCCAGCTCACCTGCTGTGCAGTCCCTGAAAGGTGGCAAGTCTGCTATGTCACAGCCAGAAAGCAAGACTCTGATGCAAGGTAAAGATGAGATGAATGCCTGAACCTCCTGTTTACTCTGCAAAGCTTGAGAAATCTGAAAATGGGATTTTTAATCTAGATCCTGATCTAGTGCCCCTGAGGCAAAGGGAATCCTCAGCTGTGGTTCAGACTCCTCACAGCTTGCCCAGCAAGAAAGATCAGGACTTAAACCCTGTAAAATTATTTATTTGTAAAATAACAGTCTCAACCAACGCCTCCTAACTGAGGTGGTGCTTCAATTTTTGGTTTTGTTCCAATGAAAACAAATTATTGGGACAGTAAATATCCCCTGCAGTGCCTGCAATCAAACACTGCAATGTTGTGCTAAGGCTCTAGAAACAGAAAGTGGAGCAGCACTCACGCAGAAACAACAAAGCTGAAGGGAAGAATGCAAGAGCACTCAGCTGCACAAGCCATTTAGGCTTATTTTCTGTACTAATTTTTTTGGCTGCAGCAAGCTCCTCTTGTCCCAGCTAAGAACAATGCCAAAAGCAGGCCCGGACTATAAATGGTCAAGAGTAAAAATGAGAATTTTAAAGTGCTTTGCATCTCTGCCAAGTTATCTGTAGCGGCACACAAAGCTATTTGTTGTGCTGTCTTAATGCCCCCACCCCACGCAGGCCCTGGTCATTCTGAAACCAATGACAAGTTCTCACTGATTTCAAGGAGAATCTAGAACCTCATCCTGGATTTTTTTCAAACACAGTCGCATATAAATCCTCCTCTCTCATGTCCTGGTAGCCTTTCAGGAACTGCTTGATATTGCAAGTAAAACAAAATACCTGAAAATCAGTCAGTGCCAGGCTGTAAACAGACAAATACACAAATCTCCAATAATAAGGATTTCTGTACCTCTTCAATTTAACTGGAACAAGTCAGAAGTGCGCTTTATGTAAGGGAGGGAGGCAGTAGGACAGTTTTTTCCTGTGGGAGGAGAACACTGACTACTGGTCCCTCCCCACCAGCTTGCTTTCCCCAGCGGATGAGCCCAGCAGCCTTCGGTAGGGCAGGCTGCCCACGCTGCGGGGGCTGAAAGGCTGCGGGAGCGGGGTGGACAGTCATGGCAGGGACAGGACTGAGCCCTCTTGAGTTACGGCACAGGGGCACAGCAGGATTTTTCATGCCATAAACCAAGAGCTGTTCAGAATCTTCCTCCTTTGAGTTCACCGAACCGCTGTGATTCTGCGTAAGTGGCAGTAACTTCGCAATTGCTGCTCCTTAGAGACCAGCACATAGTCACAACAACACAGCCAACTGCTGCAGCTCCGAGTTCTCAGGCTTTACCGGTGCCAATCAAGGCCTATTCAAGTCCTGCCAGACTCACTTCTTCACACGCATCAGGCTTGTCAGCAGAACCTAGAAGGGTTTCTTTTTTGTTTTGTTTTTGTTTCTAAGGGAATGGGAGGGGAGGAATTGTCGCAATTCCTCTAAGGCCTCTTGCTTCAGCTGCAACACGCAGCTGTTGTGCTGTTAAGCAAGACAGACTGCAATAGGACTGCAGCAGCTGAGCCAGTACCGTATCATTATCCCCATCCAGGTCACTGTTCAATTGTTTGCATCATGGAACTTTTTAATCCCAGTCTAGCTTGCAGATAAAGGGAGCTTTAAAAATACAGCTTTAACGGCTAAACAACAGGGTACTTCTAACATTCCGATCAGGTAATTAAACTTTTCAACAGTCTTTCTATAAAGCTCTCTGCTTTGGAACAAAGAAAATGTTATTTTGTAGTATATTCCAACTCCAGAGAGAACTCACTGTGCACATGCACTCCCTTCTGCCTGCAGGCAGCTGAACCGCACACACTTTAGGGTATGACAGCAAACGGTCAAAACCCACAGGGACAGACAGCACCTGGACTGTGACCTGGACTTTGGCATCTCTCCTTCTCCAAGTCCACCCCCGTTAGACCTCCCCTGCAATAGGTAAGCTCTTACCTTTCGAAAAATAAAATGGAAAAAAAAAACCAAAACAAACCAGAGCCCATCGGAGTAGCATTTCTTTGTACTGGTCAGTTTGCTCCTTGAAAGCAGAGCTCTCACCCTCATTTCTGTACTCAGCTTCTACTTTTTGCCCTCACTTAAATAACTAAGTACAAAATATGACTGCTACACTGCACTTACTTAGTCACCCAAATTAAACAGGAAAGCAGGTCACACAGGGTGTGGGGTTGACAACATCTTCCTAGGCTGTTAGCTGAAGAACTGCTTGTTTGCTTTTGCCTTTCTCCAGCTCAGTTTTACCCAGATGTTGACTATTCATGAAATACACAGGGCAAACACTTTTCAGTGTGAAAACTATTAGACAACAGGATGCCTTCCTGTAATTCTGGAAACTAAGGTACACGTAAAATACCTCTAAAGTAATTAAATTCAAACAAACGGAGATAGCTCTTACTTTACAACCATACTGCAGGGCTAGCTTGTTAAGATTATCATCCTCTGTAATCTCTCGTTCCAGCAGTACCACATCTCCAACTCTGTCCCGAGAAGCGCTGCATCGCTGCTGCTCCTTGCCCCTCGGTCGCAATTCCATAACATTGAGTTCCTCCTCCTCTGACTCTTCGGACTCAGACTGGCCACTGGGAAACACATACACCTGCCTGCCCGGGTAGTTATGGATGGTGACAGGAGCCTGGAAGGATCTTGTCTGGCTCTCATTCAGCCTCATCTTTTATACCAGCACCTGGAACAAAAACCAAACGTTTTGAATTTCCTTAATACCAGTGTTCATTTCTTAGCATGTAAAATTTGGGAGAATGGACAATAAGCACAGTAGTTGCACACATGTACGCACACACAAAGCTTTCCTTCTACCCAGATCTCCTCAGGGGCAAATCCAAAAGATGCCATTCTAACAGCAATGACAGATATCTTAGAAAGGTTATGTACACAAACTTCAACAAGGGGCACATTATTTTCAAACCTTTTTTTGTCTACCTGTGGATGAACTGCTACATAACACTGCTACACATCTTAAATACTTTCTATAATTTCATTTAAAAAAGCAGCAGAGTCACTTGAGCCAAGTGTCTTTAATTATGGTAAAAAAAATCCACAGAACCGTATCAGATCTCCTACCAATACACATTAAAAACTGATCAAAATTATCCTTCATGTCACCCTTCCAGAAGTCCTTAGTTCTCTACACCTGAAGAATTCACATTTTAATTTCATGGAATTGCACTTTTGTTTAATTATTATTAAATAAGGACAGCTCAAGCTACACTTAACTTCAACCTGAATGACAAGGTCATTTTGGTTTTTTAAAGCCAAGAACCTGCCTGAGCACTTAGTTTTAATTATTGCTAGGTCTACAGCAGCAAGTTATTAGGAAGCTACCTTTTTTTTTTCCCTTCAATCCCAAGCTCCACAAACATTTGTTGTCAGGGTCAGATATAGGAAAGAACACCCCACATTCTCACAGAACCCCACTGACCCTAACACTCTCAATCTACCCGTAAGAGATTGTTACAGCGAAACCACTACCGTTTGACAGGGTTTCGTTAGCGTTCAGCATGGCACCCAGAGGCTGCAGGTAGGGTCACGGCTGTGCCAGGAGAGCTTAAGCCACGGCCTCGCCGGACGCTCCCGTGGAGCCCCTTTTGGTAGGCGGTAAGCCGGGGTACTCTCCCGACGCACTTCTCGCCTGTCCCCCGAGA